CAGCAGGAAAGCTATAGCATTTTTCTTGGCCTAGCAGAGAGCTTTGGGATTGTCGTGGTTTAGCCAGACAATGTAAGTAGTTTTACGTGTAATTTTGTCACAGATTTGCTTTCTCTTGCTATGCAATCTGAAAGATTAGCAGTAACGTTGGCTCATACACAACACGGTCGTCATCATTTGCAAGTCATGCACGGTGCAAGGAGTTAAATAAAGTGCTTATCTAGACAATAATTGATTAGTGAAGCAGGTAGGCTTAACAAATAAACGGGTGTGCTGTGTGGATAGAGCCACGCCAGCAAAGGAATACAGAAGTAAAAGAGATGGAGGCACAAGATGGAGCAAAAAACACAAGGTACATGGTTTTAATGTTGATCCTGACATTCCATATTAAAATCGCAATCTGTTCAAAGAAAGGATTTTATATAATCATTCATTTGCTTTCCCTATATTTAGCATTTCTAATTTTTGTTTTAATTATTAGTGAAAAAGTCTTTAAGAACTTTCTCAGTCAGTCTCATTTTAATACATGTCAAAAGCAGGGAGCAAACTTGTAGCTTGGTTATTCCCCTGATATGCCTTATAATTGAGAGGTAATTGTAAGCCAGATGCTTCCTCAGCCAAAAAGCTGTTTTTTAAAGCACAATACGACAAGTTAGGCAGCAGGATTAGTTTATCATTAAATCCACCAGAGGATAAAGCTGTAATGATACAATGGCAATCAAGACAAAGGAGGGATTTCTGATTTTGTTGTTTTGATACAGCATTATCATTCATTTCCTTTGGCAGACAAAATGAAGACAAAACCACATGCAACTGTTCCCTGTTACACGCTTGATGGCACACAGTTGGGCTTTGATTGATGCTTTATCTATTCTTACCCTCATCCCTTCGAATCGTGACAACGCTCTTAATGGTCGCAGGGCTCGGAGGGTCCTGAGGGATTTAATGGGGCCCATCTCAGAGTATCCAAGTGTACTGGCTATGAGGCTTATTAGAGAGACCTGAATGGAGACACAAAGCAAAAATCCAATCTGTAAATACAGTCCTGTCATGTTCCTTCTCTTCTAACTTTCCTTCCTGAAAAGAAACAGCTGGTTAGTTGGAAACAGCTGGAAGAATGGGGGAAAAAAAACCCCACCCTTAAATGGAAGCCATTAAATTAGATCAACACAGAAAAAAAGGAGGATTTTACATCCACACATATACAGAACCTCTACCAACTCACAAACCCTTTGTTTCCACTTTAATGCAAAATTTATAGAAATACAGACTTTCAAAGATGTCCTTTTTCTCTTAACTAAGTACACAGAAATCCTCTTAATGTCAGCTTGCAGAAAATGGTTAAGAAAGGAGATCACCATCACAAAATGACCACTCCATGATGCCTGTGCTGTACGTTTCCTGTACATTCCTCAAGGTGTGTGTATCTTCCACTATTGAAAATATAAGTCACATAACTGTTATAATTTAGGGCCTTTTGGAGGAAAGCACCTGTAAGATCTAACCATTTCCATCAGAGATAAAAGATTTTAGCATTACCATTCAATTATCCATCTTAAACTGATTAGAAACAAGTCTTCTAGATTGCTGGTAGACATGACTTTCTGTCATAGACTCTAGAAGAATGATACCAATGACTCTAAAAGCATGACTCTGAATCTGTACTTTTTAACTCTAAGGCACAAAGGAACTTGACAGGTGCTCAACACTGAGGTCCGTACCTCTCAAAGCCTATTTCTTTGAAATAAACTGTCTATCTCCAAATCTGGAGAAAGCACGGAGGGGTTCCAATGCTCTTCATGTTCTCAGAGCTTTGGTAGTGCCCAGCTGGTCAGACCTGTGGATGCTATCAGGCACAGGACGGAAGTCTGGTGAACTGAATGGCAGTGGAGATTACGGGTCAGATTAATAAACACATGGAGCAATTGCATTTTGCATGCTCAGATGACTGAGTTCTTACTGAGCAGGGAGTGAGAAGCAAACAGCTCTCCAACACCCCAGGTATCATGCCAATTTGCAGGTATTAAAAAAAACTCAAAAATTAATGGCCACATAATTTTTTTTTTTTTTTAGAAGAGAGAAGAGGAGACCTGTGCATACTGCTTATCATAGTTCCCTTACTCCCATCTTTATCTGTTTTTGCAGCCTCGGTTGTAGTCGTATCAGATTACTGCATATTCACCAACGTGAGTGTGCAAAGCTTAGCTGGAAGGAGTATGCTCTGTTGCCATTTTAAAGATAGAACCTAAGTCTAAAAACAGGGATTCTTCTACACTATATAAAAAAATAGGTGCTTAATGTAGAGGGAAATTCTAGGCTCTCCCATGAAGACAGGCAGCTCTGGTGGGAAATCTTCCTGTTCATTTTAGGGTAGGATGATTTTTCCTCTGAACTCCGCTGCTGGCTGACCAGCAAAAAAAACCAAAACCCATGAGGTTTGTGATAAAGCAGGATAAGATGAGCCTGGTCGCCCAAGTCGCAAGCTGATGTCCCCTACGGAGCAACCTTTCTCCTGAATATGCATTCATCTGTGTACCAGTGCTGTCTGCACAGCTAAGCATCTTTGTAAAACTTGCTCAATTTGTTAAATTATTTACCTATTGATGGGCTTTATTGTGGCATGTGGGTGACAGCAAGCCTAAGGGCAGGAGGTCTCAAAGACACCAAGCCTGAGCTGGATGCAGTGGGCTGGACGAGACTGCCCAGATTTGCAGAGGATGAAGTGGCACAGAGGCTGGCTGTCGTGCTTTAACATGTCACTCTTTAACAAGGTGCGACACAAACTCACCTCCCGTGTACAGATCCAGCGGCTGACGCAGAAGGAAGGTCCTAGTAAACACTTCTGCATTTTAGTGGTAAGTGTGCGGTAAAAACATCACAATAGACAGGGAGACTGGATTCAAGGTCTGATGTCTTAGGACCTTAGATACTGGGGAGGTAAAAGTCACCGATGAAGCCTTTGTTTCTAAGAAAGCAGATCTGAACCTGTGACATGGTTATGCTAAGAAGTTATTTTAGAGTAAGTAATGGTACAGGCTTGACATATTCACTACTAACGCTTCTTTCACTTAAGCCCTGCTCAGTCAGTGCTCACAGTTAAAGATGAAAACCTGGGTTTGACTTCAAAACCATCTTAAACTCATCTTATATGCTTTCAAACTCAGGTAGCACCCATTTTCTGTCTTCCTTATTTCTTACCAGCCTTGATTATACCCTGTACTCTGAAGTTGCATTAACATACAGTCCAAAGCCTTCTCCTTTCATTCACTCTCCCCATTGACTTAATGTTGCCTAAATAAGGAGAAAAGGCTGAAGGATTTGTCTAATAGCAGTAAGCAAAGTCATCTTAAAACTGTAATATAATTTGAATTGTTGAGATACCACAACAGGAGTAACACTGTGGCACATATTTCTGTCTTGGGTGGAAAGTTTAGTGCAGAACACGGCCTTAACCCCACAGAGCCTTGGAACTCTCTATCCAGGAAGACTGGAGGTATAAGAAAACAGCTCAGTGATAGCATGCTCAACGATAGAAACCAAGATCTGTACACAAGGGAAGCTCATTCATCTGTAAAATTAATGTAGAGATTTAAAAACAATTATTCAAATACAGAGCACCCAACACCCTTCTTTGCTAGCTTCACCCACAATGACTGAGTGTCAGGTCTTCTCAAGGTCTTCACACTGCCTTGGTTCATGCATCTGCATGCCTCCTCTCTCATCCTGGATTTATGTGCTGTAACTCCCCTTCCTCTCAAGGCAGAAGGTGTTCAGTTCAAACCCTGCAAGACCAGACTTTGGATCTGAGTGGGTTACCATTTTCTTTAGCGTGCCGTAAATGTCACCCTGAAACACATCACAGGTGCTGTTGTCCTCCTAACAAAGATTTACACAGCATTAGATATCTCTTCAGAGGATTAGGCCGTGAAGCTGTGTGATATTTGGCAATGATTTACAAGGCTGGAGTCAGAACTGAGTTTGAGACAACTTGTTTAAATGCTCGGCTGTTGGGTTTGAAGGTATCCCCGTCAAATTTTATTTATAGGAGGATTACTAACACAGAGATTTGGCCATTTGGACTTGATTAAAAGTGACCCGGAAGGCTATTTTTAGGAAAAAAATCAAGCAGTTTTCAAAATTGGTGCTGACTGCCCCACATCATCACACCAAAAGGTGAAGTCAGCTGTTTCTGTTGCTTTTTTTTCTTGTTACAAGGCTGCACAGTCCAGAACTGCTCTAAGGTTCTGCTTTGTGCTCTGCGTGGTATCAGAAACTTGCTGGCACCCAGAAAACACCTCCAGGGTCAACATAACCTTCAGATTCACAACATGGCACACATTTCTTACCTTTTCTCTTTGCAAATAGTTCTGTAGGTTTTTCAGGAAGAATATACCTCTGAAGACCAGGCAGTACTGTAACATTGTGGAGAGTAGGCAAATCCTAAGGAGTCACTATTGCTTAGAACCATTTCCCATAAAATGCATAACCTGCTGTTGGGCTTGAGCTTTCACCTCACCTTCACCTTTCACATAGCACATGAGCTAACAGGTAAGCTAGAGTCTCTCATCCTTCTGTGCACTTCTTCTGACCCAAGAAGCCTTATAATTGTTCTTATTTGCAGATGCTCTGCTTCTAGCATCTCCCCTGAGGGTCTTTCCAAAACGTGCTAGACCTTACTAAGAAGCTGTCACAGCTTTCCATATAAACCTTCCTTACCCTTAACTTAAACAAGTAATAATATCCTCCATGTTAGCTCTAGACTGTTCCTTATCCACTTGTCTCGCTGTTTATTTGGTGCCCCTGAGTTCCCCAGGACGATGTCGTCACCGGGCTTGGCTATCTAGCGTGAACCCAGTATACAATCTGACCAGCAATGAGGGTCCCTGAGGCAGGGAGTGTTCCTCATAAATCAGTGTATTCAATCCTGCCTCCATGGACCTTAACGGCAAAAGTCTCACCAATCACACGGGCTAGGGTTTCATTCACATGGCAGCTCTTCCCTTTTGCTTTCCCTAGATCATCTCAGCACAGCCCAACAAGAGCTCAGCCATAGCACTGTCAGCAACTTCCCAAAGTTTATTCCACCTGAAAGAGTGGAAACCCTGAAAGAGACAGCATTTACCTCCCAGCTCAATGGCAGAATTTCCCAGCAAAACTCAGGTCTAGGCAAAGCCACACTGATGTTATCTACAGACCTTGGCTGCTTCTTGCCATTGTAGATGGGCAAGAGGTGTTGAGTTTTTTTCTGACCACGGCATTTAGAGAAGTTTCTTGCCCCTGTTCCTTACTTTCTTTGCCCAGAGGTAGTTTTATTTATCTATCTTTCTATCTATCTATCTATCTATCTATCTATCTATCTATCTATCCATCCAGCTAGCTAGCTATCCATATATCTATATAGATAATATCTATAAATATATTATATCTATATACCTATATTTCTGTATTTATTCCTACATATTCAAACATGCATGTTTATCTATATAGATTTTACAGCGGTTTGTATGGCAGCCTCCTAGAGCTGGGTAAAGGGAGAGATAAGTGAACCCCACAGCTTTCATTTTCACCATTTTCAGTGTTATGCTCAAGAAAAAAAATGAAAACTTTTAAATCTCGTGACTGCATTGAACACTAGAAATACCAGCCATGGGGATTACCAAGCCTGTGGCTGGTGTTTTGAAAGCCAACCTCCTGTCATCTATGTGGCTCAGTGGCATTAGCAGCTCGGGTCTCGAGTGTCCCATTGTATGACATTCATATGTGTTTCCAGGGCCAAATCAAGAAGAATTGATGAATTTAGACTGCTAGAACACAGGCAGTGATCTCTGAAGAGAGGCTAGCCTCACTGATAACTGTTGAAAGTTATTGCTAATATGTTTTAATGAGATTAATGTCTGAATTTCTTAATTATGTTGACAACCCACTACTAGATTATATTTGACTAAAAAAAGAGTCTTACCCAGGAATCAGGATGTTTTTTCAGTAATTGCCACTTTTTGTT